TAACTGGCCCAACTGGAAACCCATGATAGACTGAACCCAATCTGTCCTCATCTGTAACCAGAAAGAAACAATTGGCTCTTCTCTGCATTAGTCACTAATCCAGAAACCCTAGCAAAATAATCCAAGGCCGATTTGATCAAGCTAACAGAGGAAGCATCTGCTCTACAAACGCAATCAAATCATCCGCAAAACACAAATGAGTAATAGCTGCCCGCCACATCTCCAATGATACTGAAAACTAGGGCTGTTAGAGGTTTCCCGAAAAATACCAGCTAACCCCTCCATAGCCAACACAAAAAGGTAAGGAGAAAGAGGGTCCCCCTGCCGCCAACCTGAGGGACCTAAAAAATCGTGAAGCTCTCGTTCGGGCAACAGAGAATATGGTGTAGAGATACAGTCATGATCCACCTCACCATACGCTCAGGAAAACCCATGGTACGCAACCCAAAAGGATGAAATCCAACTCACAGTATCAAAAGCTTTCCGAATAAACTTTAAGGGCACATCGAGGGGAGTACCCCCAAGATGATAATTCCGCAAAAGCTCCTGAGTCAACAGAATATTATCAGAGATCCTTTGACTCGGGACAAAAGCTGACTGGGAAACCCCAATAATATCCGGAAGCACAACTTTAAACCGATTCACAATCACCTTAGAAATGCACTTTTAAAGTACATTACAACAAGATATCGGCCTAAAGTCTGTCATACGACTCGGGCTCTCCCCTTAGGGACCAAAGCAATCCTGGTGGATTAAGCATCTTGGCATTTCATTAGTGCAAAAAAAATGTCTCACTGTACCCTGAAATCTGTACCAATAATATCCCATGCCCGCTTAAAAAACAAAGATGTGAATCCATCCAGGCCGGGGGATTTATCATCCAGGATAGAGAATAAAGCAATCCTAATCTCACATCAGTGAAGGAGCAGTCAATGGAGAAATCATATCAGGAGAAATGCGGCCAGAAAAATACCTGGAAGCTCTGCAGTAAGAAGGTCCTAAAAAAAACCCACCGCCAAACGCCCTAAACCCTGACTGTTAGTAATATGAGTACCATTCCCATCAGTCAAACCGTGGATGCAGTTCGAACCTGTCTATGGATCAACGACTTATGAAAAAACTTAGTATTCTGATCCCCTAAGTGCAACCACGAACACGAGACCACTAGAGAAAACGGATAACAAGTACTTGTCATCCATCCATGGCTCCAAATCCCCAATCCATAAAGATTTTCTCGAATTCCCGGAAGGCTGGGAGCTGGTTGAGTTAGTGTTTATTGTTTTGGCTTGGTTTGGGGGTGGCATGGTGTTATTTGGGTGTGAGGGGTTTGGTTCGGACATTTTGTCGAACATTTGTTGGAAAGAAAAAAAGTGTGATTTTGGTGAGCTTAAGAGTTTGTTAGAGCGGGGATTTGTGAATCAGTGGTTGGGGTGAAGAGGTTTTGGTGTTGGAAAGTGGAATGTGGTCGGGAGGGCTAAAAGGGAAGGGCTAGGCGCTGGGCGCGCGCTGCGCACTGGGCGCTGGCCGAGCGCGTGCGGGATTGCAATGCTTACTGCAGACTTTTGTCGAACACCTTGCGTGCACGATCAAAACTCGATCAGAATGCAACCAAATTTTCCACGAATCTGCAAAATCAAAACCCAGCAAGAAACCAAGAAGAACAAACTGCAGAAAATCACAAAAAAATCACACCAAAACAGGTCCACGGAATGGCATAAAAACCCAACCCAAACCACACATTCCCGCGAAAAAACAGTGGGTTTTTCTGGCAACCAGAGGTCAACAAGGTGCAAAAAGATGTGGGGATTGTCGATCTTTCCCGGATGAGTCAGTATTGGCACTCCATTGTAATTCCCGAATGAAAAAACCCACTGCGAAGAAAATCCAGATGTGCAGTTTTCGTCAAATTCGACGAACAAATCCCGACAACCAGGACCTCCAAACTGGCCAGTGACGGAACGACTAGAAAGAGGGTTGAACAAGCTTTCCAAAGATGGTTGGATCGTCAGATTACGATGCTGGACGCGCGTACCGGCAGTGACCACGAGTTGAGAGAAAAAACACTTGAAAAAAATTCCAATTTTTTTTTTCTCCCCTAAACCCTGAACCCTAAACCCTAACCCCTAAACCCTAAACCCTAAACCATAAACTTTTTTTTTTTTTGGATAAGGTAAGTATGTAAAAGACCAAAAATGTACAAATACGAGGGGCATACCCCAAGAGGATGACTGATAACTCTCAGTGAAAAGCCCGTAGGAAAACCCAAAAAGTCACAAACAGCATAAAGAGAGCATGCAGGCTCCCCACAAAGCAAGAAGATGCCATAAAAAACAAAGCCACAAACTGGCATAAAAGAGCACGCAGGCTCACCACAAACACAAAGCCACAAACCGGCACAAAAGAGCACACAGGCTCCTTACAAAGCTAATCAGGAAGATGCCATATCACACGGAGCTGAGTCGAGATCTCGTACTTAGGTGCTAGACCCAAAATCTTGGCCCGAATTAGATCACAAATAGCTAAGACAATATCTCGGCGAGAGCTGCAATGCTGACGAAACACGCGATTATTTCGTTCAAACCATAGGAAATAAATTGTGGCTGAAAGGATCAACCGGGAAAGAAGGTGGCTGAAAGGATCAACCGGGAAAGAAGGTGGCTGAAGTCACCTTTTCGTTGAAGATGCAAGCTCGCCCATTGAAGTAGAGGGAGCCAGGGGAGAGTGGGCCATGTAGAGAGCGTCCTGGTACTAACCTCCTGCCAAACAAAACTGGAAAAGTCACAGCTGAAAAACAAATGGTCATGGGTCTCTGTAGCTGATCTGCACAAAAGACACCGGGAGGATGTAATGACACCATGAGAACTGAGCCGGTCCATGGTGTGAAGCCGACCAAGAGAAGCGAGCCAAAGAATGAAAGAGTGACGTGGAATATGCCCGGGAAACCACAAGAGATGATGAATCGAGTTCACATCCCGCTTGTCTCACATCACATTCCAGGCTAAATCAATAGAGAAACGTCCAGACGGATGGCCCTTCCACACAAGATGATCAGGACGACTCGCTGAAGGCTACATTGTAATAGAGTCCCAAATATGCTGAAGGTCTGTACGGCCCGAAGGAAAGTCCCACCGACCATCCCGAATGATGTCTGAAACCTAAGCATCCCATGGCAAACCAGTGGAAGTCAAGGTTCTAAAAGGGAGCAAGTCACACATAGGACCCTGCGGAAGCCAGTGATCTCGCCATAACATGGTGTTCCTACCATCTCCAATACAAGTCACAATAAGACCCCTGCACCAAGCCCTGCTAAGTAAAATCTTCCTCCAAGCCCATGAAGCCCCAGAAGTAACTCGGATATGCCAAAAGGACCGACCACAGAGGAGAACCAAACGGGCCCAAGAAGACCATGTAGAAGATCTATCAGTAAGTAGTCTCCAAACGTGTTTAAGAATAGCTGCCCTGTTCCAATCTTGGATCCTCTTAATCCCCAGGCCACCCTCCGTCAATGGATAGCAAACAGAAGACCATGCAACCTTAGCACCAGAAGGGGACAAAGAAGTACCCTTCCAAAGAAACGAGGCCAAAATACTCTCAATCCGTCTAACTGTAGCTACCGGCAAAAAAAACATGGAGGACCAATAAACCTGTATGGAGAAAAGTACTGACTTTATCAACTATAGTCGGCCTGCATAGGTCAAAGATGCCGATGTCCATAGCCTAATCCGAGAGAGAATTTGCTCCAATAGAGGCCTACAATCAGAATGTCGAAGGCAGGTAGAGATTAGAAGAACCCCTAGATATCTTACCGGTAACTGGCCCAACTGGAAACCCATGATAGACTGTAACCCAATCTGCTCCTCATCTGTAACTCCAGAAAGAAACAATTGGCTCTTCTCTGCATTAGTCACTAATCCAGAAACCCTAGCAAAATAATCCAAGGCCGATTTGATCAAGCTAACAGAGGAAGCATCTGCTCTACAAAACGCAATCAAATCATCCGCAAAACACAAATGAGTAATAGCTGCCCGCCTACATCTCCAATGATACTGAAAACTAGGGCTGTTAGAGGTTTCCCGAAAAATACCAGCTAACCCCTCCATAGCCAACACAAAAAGGTAAGGAGAAAGAGGGTCCCCCTGCCGCACACCCTGAGAGGACCTAAAAAAATCGTGAAGCTCTCCGTTCAGGGCAACAGAGAAATATGGTGTAGAGATACATGTCATGATCCACCTCACCATACGCTCAGGAAACCCCATGGTACGCAATCCCAAAAGGATGAAATCCCAACTCACAGTATCAAAAGCTTTCCGAATATCAACTTTAAGGGCACATCGAGGGGAAGTACCCCCAAGATGATAATTCCGCAAAAGCTCCTGAGTCAACAGAATATTATCAGAGATCCTTTGACTCGGGACAAAAGCTGACTGGGAAACCCCAATAATATCCGGAAGCACAACTTTAAACCGATTCACAATCACCTTAGAAATGCACTTTTAAAGTACATTACAACAAGATATCGGCCTAAAGTCTGTCATACGACTCGGGCTCTCCACCTTAGGGACCAAAGCAATCCTGGTGGCATTAATGCATCTTGGCATTTCATTAGTAGCAAAAAAATGTCTCACTGTATCCCTGAAATCTGTACCAATAATATCCCATGCCCGCTTAAAAAACAAAGATGTGAATCCATCCAGGCCGGGGGATTTATCATCCAGGATAGAGAATAAAGCAATCCTAATCTCATCATCAGTGATAGGAGCAGTCAATGGAGAAATCATATCAGGAGAAATGCGGCCAGAAAAATACCTGGAAGCCTCTGCAGTAAGAAGGTCCTAAAAAAAACCCACCGCCAAACGCCCTAAACCCTGACTGTTAGTAATATGAGTACCATTCCCATCAGTCAAACCGTGGATGCAGTTCCGAACCTGTCTATGGATCAACGACTTATGAAAAAACTTAGTATTCTGATCCCCTAAGTGCAACCACTGAACACGAGACCACTACTTAAAGAAAGCATCCTCATCTCGACAAAGACTAAAATACTGGTTGGCAAGGTTCCTCTCCTCAGAGATACACTCAGTAAAAAAAGGGTCCCGATCCAAATTTCCCTGGGCTGCTGTCCACAGAGCCCGAGCCTCAATTACCCTGCTGGAGATATGACTGGAATCCCTAATATGTAGAGCTTTTAGCTTCCGTTTCACTAACCCCAATTTCTGTGTAAGATAGAACATAGGATTGCCTACAATAGGCTCGTCCCAAACTGCCTGAACAATATCCCTAAAATTTGCACGATCAGCCCAAAAATTTAGAAATTTAAAAGAGGATGGTACCTTGCCACGGCGGGGACCAAACCGGAACACAATAGAGCTATGATCTGAAACATCCTGAGGTCGGAACTCTGAAACTGTGCTTGGTCGATCAAGGAACCAAGAAAGTGATGCAAAGACCCAATCGAGCTTCCGTAAAATAATCCAATCGCCCTGTTGACCGTTATGCCAAGTATACCAAAGCCCAGTAAAAGGAACCCCAATCAACTCAGCATCATGGATACATTGGCCAAAATCATCCATATAACCATACCACGCAAGATCACCACCCACTCTGTCAGAGGCTCCCAACATGGCATTAAAATCCCCCAACACAAGCCATGGGAGCCCCTCTGAATCAAACACTGCCGACTGATCCCTAAGGAAATCCCACAGATTGCAGCGATTCCCAGGGTCATTAGAACCATACATAAAAGTAATCCCAAATGAGAACCCCTCAAAAACATGAGTAACCCTGCAAGTAATCTCCTGAAGAGAGCAATGAAGACTATGCATAGAGTAAAGAGAAGAGTCCCAACATACCAGAACACGGCGAGCAATAGAATCTGTCGCATTCAATAAAAATTGCCACGAAGGACAAACAGACGAGACCACTGACTGTAAATGAGACTGCTCAACCTTAGTCTCCAACAAACCAATCAAACCCAAAGAAGAGTCAGAAATCCAATTCCGCACAGCACGTTGTTTCGAGAAGCCGTTAAGGCCTCTAATATTCCAACTCCCTATCATTGGAATTGGGATAGAAACAAGCTAAGAAATTACTTGAGCCGAAGCCCCCGCTTTCCCTGACCTATCCCCTTTGCTAGGGGTGGCAAGGAAACTGATCCAGATAAGATGGCATCTGGTGTCTGGAGATCGTCACTATGTAGAACAAGCGAGGCAAACCTGTTGGAAGAGGTAGATTGCCTACTCCCAGAACTCATAAAGGACTGAGTGTTTTCTATGCAATTTGTAAATCCCATAATACGGTCTTGCTCATCCTCAATAGGGAAAGGGGAATCAGGTTTCGACCCCGATTCAGAGCCAGAAAATTCACCTCTGCTAGCACGAACAGTCTGCTGATACGGGACCAGAGCCAAAGTAGCATCCCCAACTCTAACTGTACTTGGAACTGAAACTGTAGATGGCACTAAAACATCCCCTTCTGTCCCCCGCTCCCTCTCCTTAATGGGATCAATAGTGGCTGGCTGCCTCAAAGGCTCGCAGTTCTCAAATTGTACTGCTTTCCCTAGTGCCTTCTGGAAGCTAGTAACTATCTTATTCTTACCATGAGCTATAGCCGCAGTAGGTACCTCTGGCTGGTGACAAACGTGACCAAAAACACAGCACTTAGGGCACCTCTTGGGGGTCCACTAATATTCCACTGTAATCTGAATGGGTTCTGCAGATAACTGGCACTGAAATTCAAAATGACGTCTCAGAGGCTTTGCTGCATCTAACTCAACACATACCCGACCATAATCCAAACGGGTCCGCTCTGATGTTGTCTTATCACTAGACAACGGTCGACCCAACATAAAGGAAACCATGCAGAGTCCTTTGTGGGACCACAAAGGATAGGGCAAACCATGCAAACGAGCCCATACCAGAGCCTTAGAGATACGGCTTTTATAAAAAATAAACTGAGCATGCCATTGTTGCAAAATAATAGACTTACCCCCAAACATCCACGACCCTCTCTCAAGGATCGAATGCACCGCATCCTCATCCTTAAATCTGAACATGTAAAAACCAGTTCCTGTGGACATAACATCTTCCAACCCCGCAGCTTCCCATGCATTGAAATCAATTGAGCGGACAGCATGAAAAGGCATAGAGTACCCCGGGAAATAACCCACAATGCAGCGAAGCCATTCAACATCATTGTCATCAATAACATCATCCGGTATAAGTAAGATGTCATCCTTAATATCAAGGTCAACAACTTCAAGGGTGAAATGGGACCCGACCTCTATCACTCTAACCTTATCCGCCCAAGAGGAGGACACTCCTAAGGTGCTCTTACCCATACTTTTCTTCTCTACAACTGGCTTAGGGACTGACTTTTGTTCGCGGGCCCCAGAAGACGCCCAATTAAGCTTGAAAAGCTTCGTGGACTTCGGCATTTTTAAGCCATGAAAAGATTGCAATGTTGAACCTACAATATCATTAGATTCAAACTCAAGAAAACCAAAGGAAGAGTTTTTGTGATGAAAAACCTTGGCTCCTTGAATTGCCACCTTTGAGAAAACGGATAACAAATACTTGTCATCCATCCATGGCTCCAAATCACCAATCCATAAAGATTTCCCAGAATTCCTGGAAGTTTATGGCTGCTGGGAGCTGGTGGAGGCAGCATGCAATGTTTTGGATTGGGTTGGGGGCGGCATGGTGTTATTTGGGAGTGAGGGGTTTGGTTCGGACATTTTGTCGAACACTTGGTGGCAGGAAAAAAAAATGTGATTTTGGTGTGTTTGAAAGTTTGAAACAGCGGGGATTTGTGAAAAAATGGTTGGGGTGAAAAGGTTTTGGTGTTGGAAAGGGGAATATGCTCGGGAGGGCCAAAGAGGAAGGTTGGGTGCTAGGCTTGCGCGCAAGGCCTGCAGTGGACTTTTATCGAACTAATTTTGTGCACAATAAAGGCATCCAAAACCCCACCAAATGCAACCACCGTTTCCAGGAATCTACAACAATCAAAACACAGCAAGAAACTACAAAAAAATTGCAGAAAATCAATCCAAAAACACACCAAAACAGGTCCACGAAAATTCCAGATCTGCAGATTCCGTAAAATTTCAAGGCAAATTCCCAGCGATCAAAGCAACTAACAGAGAAGGTGATGAAACGACAAGATATCCTATGGAATAATCTTTCCAATGGTAGGTGGATTGCTCAATTCCGACCCCGGACGCGCTCGAAACAAGTCACCGAAGTTCCGGCAGCGAGAACAGGCAGTTTTGCAGATTCCGTGAACTTTCACGGCCAAATCCGGATGAAATACATAGAGAAATATGGCAGTGTCAAAATAAACACAAAGCCCATTAAAACCTCCTTCCAACGGTGGGTGGATCGTCCGATTCTGACATCGGACGCACCCGGAACAAGCCGCCGAAGTTCCAACAGCGGGAACGAACAGATCTGCAGATTTCGTCAATTTCACGGCCAAATCCCGGTGAAATACACAGAAACTACTAGCAGTGATGAAACGAATAGAAAGCTCATTCAAAAATATTTCCAACGGTGGGTGGATCGCTCAATTTTGACACCGGACGCACCCAGAACAAGACGACGAACTTCTGGCAGCCAGAATGAGTTGAGAGAAAACTTAGAAACATTTTCCAGTTTTTTTCCCCTCCCTAAACCCTCCCTAAACCGTAACCCCTAACCCCAAACCCCCAAACCCTAAACCCTAAACCCTAAACCCTAAACCCCAAACCCGAAACCCGAAACCCGAAACCCGAAACCCTAAAACCCTAAACCCTAAACCCTAAACCGGACAACCATAAAGCTATGATCTGAGACATCTCAAGGTCGAAACTCTGAAACTGTGTTCAGTCGATCAAGGAACCAAGAAAACGATGCAAAAACCCAATCCAGCTTCCGTAAAATAATCCCATTGTCCTGCTGACTGTTATGCCAAGTATACCAAAGCCCAATAAAAGGAACCCCAATCAACTCAGCATCATGGATACATTGGCCAAAATCATCCATATAACCATACCACTCAGGATCACCACCCACTCTGTCAGAGGCTCCCAAGATGGCATTAAAATCACCCAACACAAGCCATAGGAGCCCCTCCGATTCAAACTCTGCTGCCTGATCCCTAAGGAAATCCCACAGATCGCGGCGATCCCCAAGGTCATTAGAACCATACACAAAAGTAATCCCAAAGGAGAACCCCTCAAAAACATGAGCAACCCTACAAGTAATCTCCTGAGAAGAGAAATGAAAGCTATTTACAGAGTAAAGAGAAGGATCCCAACATACCAGAACTTGGCAGATAATAGAATTCGTCGCATTTGATAAAAATTGCCATGAAGGACACACTGCCAAAACTACCAACCGTAGATGAGACTGCTCAACCTTATTCTCCAACAAACCAATCAAACCCAAAGAAGAGGTAGAAATCCAATTCCTCACTGCGCGTTGTTTGAAGGAGCCGTTAAGGCCTCTAATATTCCAACTCCCTATCATTAGAATTGGGACAGAAACAAGCTAAAAAATCACTTGAGCCGAAGCCCCCGCTATCCCCGACCTTTCCTCTTTACCAGGGGTGGCAACAAAACTGATCCAGATAAGGTAGCATCTAGTGTCTGGAGATCATCACTATGCAGAACAAGTGAGGCAAACCTGTTAGAGGAAGTAGATTGCCTACTCCTAGAACTCATAAAGGAAACCTAAGTGTTTTCCGTGCAATTTGTGAAGCCCATAATGCGGTCTTGCTCATCCTCAATAGGAAAAGGTGAATCAGGTTCTGACCCCAATTCAGAGCCAGGAACTTCACCTCTGCTAGCATGAACAGTCTGCTGATACAGGACCAGAGAAGCATCCCCATCTCTAACTGCACTCGGAATTCTAACTCTAACTAGTGCGGGAACATCCCTCTCCCGCTCCCTCTCCCTAATGGGATCAGTAGTGGCCGGCTGCCTTAAAGGCTCACAGTCCTCAAATGGCATTGCAATAGCTTTCCCCGATGCCTTCTGGAAGCTAGTAACTATCGTACTCTTACCCTGAGCCATAGTTGCAATAGGTACCCTTGGTTGGTGACAAACATGGCCAAAAACACGACACTTACGGCACCTCTTAGGGGTCCACTCATATTCCACTGTAATCTAAATGGGTTCCACAGATAACCGGCATTGAAATTCAAAATGGCGCTTTAGAGGCTTTGCTACATCTATCTTAGCACATACCCGAGCATAATCTAAACGAGTCTGTTTAGAAGTTGTTTTATCACTTGACAACGACCAACCCATTATAGAAGAAACCATGCAGAGTCCATTGTGAGACCACAAAGGATAAGGCAACCCATGCAAACGAGCCCATACCGGAACCTTGGAGATGCGGCTTTTATCAAAAGAGAAATGAGCATGCCATTGCTGCAGAACAATAGACTTGCCCCCAAACATCCACGGCCCTCTCTCAAGGATGGAATGCACCGCATCCTTATCCCGAAATCTGAATATGAAAAACCTAGTATCGGTCGACATAACATCTTCTAACCCCGCAGCTTCCCATGCACAAAAAGCAATTGAGCGGGCAGTATGAAATGGCATAGAATACCCCAGGAAATAACCCACAATACAGTGAAGCCATTCAACATCATTGTCATCAATAACATCATCCGGGATATGTAAAATGTCATCCTTAATATCGAGGTCCACAACTTCAAGGGTGAAGTGGGACCTGACCTCTGTCACTCTAACCTTATCTGCCTAAGAGGAGGATACTCCTGATGTGCTCTTAATCATACTTTTCTGCTCTAAAACTGGCTTAGAGACTGGTTTTTTTTCACGGGGCTTAGAAGATGCCCAATTGAGCTTGATAAGCTGCTTAGACTTCGGCCTTTTTAAGTCATTAAAAGATTGCAATGATGAACCTACAATATCATTAGATTCAAACTCAAGAAAACCAAAGGAAGAGTTTTTGTGATGAAAAACCTTGGCTCCTTGAATCGCCACATTTGAGAAAGCAAATAACAAATACTTGTCATCTATCCATGGCTCCAAATCTCCAATCCATAAAGA